GCGGCGGTTTGAGGTGCGGCGGGGAAGGCCTGCCTCCCTGGCCTCCACAGACCCTGAAAATGTGGCAGCTTGAGGTGCGGCAGGGAAGGCCTGCCTCCCTGGCCTCCAGAAACCCCAGATGTGCGGCAACTTAAGCTGCGGCGAGGAGGGCCTGCCTCCCTGGCCTCCACAGACCCCGGAAGTGCGGCAGCTTAAGGTGCGGCGGGGAAGGCCTGCCTCCCTGGCCTCCACAGACCCTGGAAATGTGGCGGCTTGAGGTGCGGCGGGGAAGACCTGCTTCCCTGGCCTCTACAGACCCCGGAAGTGTGGCAACTTGAGATGTGGCAGGGAAGGAATGCCTCCCTGACCTGCTGCTGCCTGCATGGGTCCAGAGGCTCTGCAGGAGTCTGCGGAGGCCAGGGAGGCAGGCAGGCACCCTTGGAATGGTCCGGGAGGTGGGTAAGGAAGCGCGGGTAAGAAAATAATACATAAATAATGTATAAATATTAAAATTAATATGGCATCCTTACTTTGCAAGTTTTCACTTATTGTGGGTGGTCCTGGAACGGAACCCCCACAATAAGTGAAGGAACACTGTAATTTGATGTTTAATAGACTTTTCCTTAATCCCTTCTTATTATCCAACATCTTCACTTATGTAACGTTCTGCCAGCCTGTCTATGTTGGGTAAGCAAGACTCTACTGTATTGCTACTTTTTAGAAAAATATTCTCTAAACCCCTTGTTCACAATGAGAAGCAATTCTGTCACTTTATCCTCTACTGAGGCTGTTCTAGATTCATAAGAGGCCTTTTTGTAAGAACTGACAAGGAAGTTGACCTCTGGGGTGGATAACAGCCTTTTTGTGAATGTATAGCTGGGTGTGCAGTAAGTTCAGGTGACAGTCACTTACTTTTCAGAGTACAAGTGAGGTTAGGGGATATACAAGAGCACTCATCATCGCAGGCACTACATATGCGGAAGGCAAGGCTGTCTGGAGTCTCAGCTAGTGTTCAAGCAGAGATATTGCTGTAATAATTTCCATCCTAATGCATTCCAATATAGCCGTGCTGACATGGTGCATCTGAAGGGCACGAAATCCCAGTTGCCATTTTTCAAAAGAATATATGAAGCTAGTGCCTGAAAAATTATTACTTAAAAGATTCTGCGAATACCATATATCATCCGATGTACTTTGCTTGCATTGGTCCTTTTCTTTCTTTCTTTCTTTCTTTCTTTCTTTCTTTCTTTCTTTCTTTCTTTCTTTCTTTCTTTCTTTTTCCTGGCCTCCTACAAATCATGGGAAAATTGTCTTGGTTTCCTCACAAATTGTGTTTCCTTTTACTGGACCAGACGTCCACCTCAAATTATCTGAAATGTTGCTAGTGCATCTGCTTCTCTACAGAGTGCTTTATCTCTAAAGAACTATCACGCAAAAGAAAAAAAGTTTTCAAAATAAGAAATACGCTTTCTGCTTTATGAATATAGAAAGCTGCCTTCAACCAAGTGGACTTAAGGTCTACCAAATTAATTATCCACTACTGACCAACAGTGATCCTTCAAGGCTTAAGTCTTACTAAGAAAGGAGGCATGAGATTGGAGCCATAAACATATACCTCCTCACAGCCTTTTGGGGTTTTTTTTGTTCCTATTGTTTGTATATGATTTATATTATATGTTAATATTTTAAATTATATTTTATGTTGTTGGGGGCATTGAATTATGCTGATTGTAAACCGCCTTCAGTCGCCTTCGGGCTGAGAAAGGCGCTATATAATTACGGTAAATAAATAAATAAATAAATAAATAAATAAACCTCTGAGGATGCCTACCATAGATGCAGGTGAAACGTCAGGAGAGAATGCTTCTAGAATATGGCCATACAGCCTGAAAAACCTACAACAACCCAGTGATCCCGGATATGAACGCCTTTGACAATACATTTACTTCCTATTTTCAATGGAGCAGCATTTATAGTACTAAGTGGACATGAGCATCTCTCTAGAGAAATATTCAAATTTGATCATTCCCATCCCCTGTCGATAAGTTCTACATCCTCATGGGTCTTGCTGACGTGTATGTTCGTCAGGTCTTACTCTTCTTGGCTGCCTGGATTTTTTTCAGGAATGAGTCAGCTCTGGATAGTCAGGATTATAATTCATTCTTAATGTCCCAACCGATGTGCACCATTGCAATATGATTGCTATGCCTAAGGAAGAAATAGTTCAAGCTCTGCTATTGGATAGAAAGAAGGAGTTGCTTGAGGCAGAAGAGTCTGAAGATGTCTTGAATTCATTTCCTATTGTTCGATTATTTTTTTCCTGTCAGGAAGGAGAGACATTTGGGAGATTTTCTGAATTATGGACCAACATAACAATTGGCCTTAAGTAGTAGGCTCTTTCACTTTGGAAGGGGATGGGCATCAATTCACTGCTCTGTCTCAAACAGGAACATTTCTCAAGTCTGCCCTGTGAAGGAAATATTTCCCTTAACTGAATTTCATGAGAAGCAAAAGCAGTCACTTAAGAATATGCCTGATCTTTTAAGATGGTGAACATGAAAAAATTGCCTTTTTCTCTCGCCTTCATTGAAGAGTGCTGCCAACTTTGCCACCATTATCAGTGCCCCCTTAAGTTCCCATTTGCTTTTTCACTATTTAAAGCAGTTCTTCTGGGAATTCACTTTCTAAGTTGGACTTAAAGCTATGGTTTGTCTCTGCCAGGGAGCCAACAAAATATAGAGAGGAAGATGTCATGGTGACTTTCATATCCAGCATGTGGTTAGACAGATGCCGCCTTTGTCTATAAGCTATCATGTATGCACCTGGCTAAATGCTTAAACATACACCAACACTGGCAGCAGTTATCTCATATACTGATTGTTTAAAGAAGTCCTCCCTTCACTACATCTTAAAACACACACAGCCTTAATTTTATAGTCGGTTTTTAAAGGGAGTAGAGTGTTCCCTCACTTATTGCTGGTGTTACGTTCCAGGACCACCCATGAAAAGTGAAAATCTGCAAAGTAGGGACATATATTTTTTTTATTTATACATATATATATATATATATATATATATATATATATATATATATAAAAATAAAAATAATTTTGAGGGTGAGGCAGAAGCGAGGAAAGATTTAAAGGCACCACACACCTTTTTTTTCTTTTTTGCAAGCTATACAGAAGGGGTTATAAGGCCATGATTTACATACTGCTTTGTATCTCCTCTCTCTCTCCCTGTGCCATCACACCAAGACACTATAAAGTTAAAGCTAATATGTGCTTCTCTCCTTATCCGAGTGAACTGCGAGTGCCTTACTTAGAAGCTTTGGATTCCCAGCAACTGAAGCCACTCCAGATTTGAACATCAAACAGAATATTTATTTTTCAAAGTCCTTGGCAGACTTGGCACAGCTTGTTGAATTTACAAACACAGTCAACTTGTGAAATCATGTAGATGTTCTTTCCTTCCTTTTTCCTTCAGCTGCTGAGTTAACTTCACCCAATGGTAGAAAAATCCCGGGATTCTTTACCCTAGCCCTGAGCTGCTATTATAAGAAAGAGCAGGTCTTTCCCTATCTAAGCTCAAAGCTAGCTTGGGGCTGAAGTAATAGAGCCTCTCCCAATGGCAGAGAAATCCTGGGATATTCTCTCCCCTAGTGCTGAGCTGCTATTTTTTAGAAAGAGCAGGTCTTCCCCTATCCAAACTCAGCACCAGTTTCAAAGGCAAGAGGGTAAGTACTGATGTGAATGCTTTAGGCCTGTTTCCCTATGGAAATGTAGAAATGTCTTTTCTGTGTATATAACTCAGCACTATATTCTGTGTTATCTACAATAAGTGAGACATGTAGCCCTGAACATCAGTTTCTGGTGAACAGGATCTAGAGGACTTTACAACACTTCTATTCTAAAGCATCTCAGATGCATCAGGTTGACCACTGTGAGAAGCAGAATACTAGGATTTGTGTCTGATCTCTTGAGTATAATCCTCTGAGCCTTTCTATCAGAGAGGCAATTTTTGCCAGTTAATGGCCAACCAACTCAAATACCATGACTAGCACTGATATCTCATCAATCCGCCACGTGGCACCATTTTCAGTATGACAATGGCAGTGTTCAAATATAATGCGATGTCTTGATTTAGAAAGTGGACTGCAGCAATTTTTCATGCTCAAATCTTTCTCCCTCTATGACACAATTGAGACTGAATAATCCTGCTTCCATTTTAGATTAGGCACATCCCCAAGCCTTGCACTATGATTAGTTGAACAATCTTCACAAACCATGTTTTGACGTTGGTTTGTTTCATAAACATTTTGCCCACATTTGGCTATCTCCATAAACTGGTTAATGGAAAAAAATTAAGTGTAATGTTATGAATTCCTCCACAGAGCAGCACTGGATATGTTGGAAGGAAAGATGTGAACCTGTAGCTCAGTTTTGTAAAATTAAATCCTGTTTTTAAAATTAAATCCTGTTTTTCTGCTACATTTAATGAGTCTAGTGCACATAGGAATCTGCTCGCATAAATGAGATCGGACAAGGTGAGTTGTAGCTGAAAAGGAAGACCATTCTTTTTTTCTCCAAATCATTCCCTCCTGGGTCTTCCTTTTCTTGAAACAGAACTTATTTTTTGAAAATAACTTAGTTTCATCCATCATTAGTGGGTTCAAAAATATAATTTGTTAATGCTAAGTGGCCAAAGGACAGTACACCACAACTTTGCTTTCAACCTTGCCTGCTTCCAAACAAGAGTTCTTGTTCTGTGACAGGGTTACAAACCAGAACTTATTTCAATGCAAAATCTACCCAAGCTTTGAACTGTTGCTTGCCTCAGATCAGAGTTAAGGTCGTAAAAATAATGAGTTAGAACCCACTATTCGTTATGCCAAAATTAATGAGCATATGGTCCTAATTAAATCCAAATCAAAATGTGAAGTCATTTTCCCCGTGTAATTCCAAAATGCCAACAAATTGATATAACCTGTTATGTCCAGGCTCCGTCTCAGAAACAGTGGCTGGCAGGGATTCGTTATTTTTATTTGCAGGTCAAGTGTAGTTAAATACAAAACAGATGAAACATTTTAATACACTGAGCCAACTCTTGCAAAGACATGAAACACTTTTTCGAAAATATGAAGAATATAAGCTAGTCTGCAGCAAGTATGAGTCACATATGATAAAGTTATATGCTCAGGTAGAGGTCAATCCACATGATAGTCATCTATCAATCATATATACCTGTTGGTTGTTTGTTTGCCTGCCCTCATCTGACCATGGAGCCATTTGAATGCAGCCCTGTGGAAAACAACTGTGCAGAAAATGGAGAAATCGTCTGAATAAAAATCTCATCACTTTTTCAAAAATGACTGTTCTTAGGATTTTTTCAAAGTCAAAGCATGTGACAGTAAAAACAGCTTACATTTTGGGTACATGATTAGATTAATATATCTGAGCACAATTCATTGCAAGCAGTAATTGTTATTACATCTGATAACTAAATAATCATTATTCAAGTTCATGTACTTTGATTGCAGAATGTTAAGAATATGATAATATGTCGCAAAAAGAAGGAGCTTACAATCCAGATAATGATGGGGGTGGAAGAAGCAAGAGAAAGGTAGGAAGAATGTACACGATGTCCCATGCTGATGTTTAGGGTGAAGTTTAGGATTGGTTTCTGTAGAGGGCAACAACGCAAGCTTTAGATCAGTGATGTTAACACTGAGAAACTCAAGGCTGGATGTTTTGCTGGCAAAATAACAATCATCATGGCTAATTTTTTAAAGCTGCATTTAGTAGCTTCTCTGGCTCCTGTTCTGCTAACAGGCATCCTAAGAAGGACTGACAACCATCATGGAACTATTACAGAAATTAGGATGTCACTCCTCACTGCTTTGCTTTACAGGAAGCATTTTCACTTGTCAAAGCAACGCTGTCCATTTTACTTGCCGAACATTCAAATGGACATTATTGCTATTAGGCAGCAAACTAAGACCCATAAAAGAGACTCCTGCTCTAGATTCCGCACTGCTCTGCCTGTCTACCTCGGATTTATTGTCTTGACAAGCAACTGTGACTCATGTCCCTTTGAATTATGGGTGAAGCGAAAGCAGGTCAATGTGCAGGAAGCCGGTTCAAGGCGGAGCTCCTGGACACCTCGCGGTACGCATTACGCAGCAGTACGTAAGGGAAGCAGGTCTCCAGCATGTCTGTTGTCAAGAAGGATGACTCCTCTACAAGCTGAAAGAGACACACAGAAGGAGATGTTAAGCACAGACACAACACCATCGTGTCCTCTGTAGCAGCTGCTGAGAACCACTCCCACTATCACCAACTGACATTCTTCTGGCCACTGAGTAGAAGGCAGCCATCTAACAAAACACAGCTACATTGTGTCTTCTTCAGGACAATCCTCAGTGGGAGAACAGGCAGATGATAACAATTTCCATGTTACAACAGCTGTGAAGGTGGACAAAGGCTGCAATGGACAAGAGACCACTGATTGTCATGCTAACATGCCATTAGATTAAAACCTCTTTCTGTGAAGACTGTGTGTTTTGTGAGGGTTGGTAAATGTGAATAAGCAGAATAAGCAGAAGCTTTACCGCAGTATTTAAATCAAGATATATCCTGCAGTATAATAAAATGTCACTCAGGCTTGTGTAACAAGTAACGGTAGCTTAACTTTAGTTCAAAAGTTCAAGCAGAGTGACAATATATACACTGGTCTCTTTGAATTCAGGCAGAGAACAGAGAGAATAAAATAGTCCTTTTAAATAGTCTTTAAAATAAGCCTCATGCCTTAAAATGATCAGTTTTCAAGATAGTTAGCAGTCAACACTTCTCTGTCCAAAGGGAGAAAATGGCAAAATGACAGAACTGTTGGTCTCAGCAGCTAGCCAGAGGCAGCAGCCAATCAGAACTCTGGCTCCTGGCACGCTCAGCCAATGGGCTGCTGACAGATGCCACTCCCGTTAATTCACCATATTTATTTATTTATTTACAGCATTTATATTCCGCCCTTCTCACCCCGCAGGGGACTCAGGGCGGATTACAGTGTACACATATATGGCAAACATTCAATGGCAATTTTAACATACAACATATACAGACATACACAGAGGCTATTTAACTTTTTCTGGCCTTTTATCGTGGCCTTCTTTTTCAAATCCTCTTATTTGTCGCTGTGCACTGATGACCACACGTAAAACAAATTCACACACAGACGTCTTCCAAAACACCAAAACCAACAAAAGTCCCACGGCAATCAGTGAGTGGCAACAGGGGCAAAACAGTAAAATCTGAAAGCTGCTAGCTACGGACTGGCCCGTGGACGGTGGATATCGATTCAGTCATTCTAACCCATTGCTAGGAATTATCTTTGGAAGACAATCATACTTGGCCACTATTCGTCGTTTCTGATGATATGATAAGCACTGAAAGTGTGCATTTAATTACCTGGCATAGACAGCTGCCAGGCAAACTGAGGCTGTGCACACTGGGTGCTGAAAACTATCTGTATTGTATCTGTACCCAAACAAAGGTCCCCAGGCCAGATGTGGCCCTCCAAGGTCATCTACCCAGACCTTGCCCTAAACTTTAGACTTAAGGTGGCCTACGTCTATAACGACTTGAAGGCACGCAACAGCAATCCTAATTAACTTGACTATCTCATCAGCCAAAAGCAGGCCCACATTTCCCATTGAAACACTAGTAAGTTTATATTGGTTAAAATCATTGTTCATTTTCAATACTGTATTGTTCCTTCATATATGTGTGTGTGTGTGTGTATGTGTGTGAGTAAAGGTAAAGATTGTCCCCTGACATTAAGTCCAGTCGTGTCCCACTCTGGGGGTTGGTGCTTATCTCCATTTCTAAGCCAAAGAGCCAGCGTTGTCTGAAGATACCTCCAAGATCATGTGACTGGCATGGCTGCATGGAGCGCTGTTATACACACAGAGAGATATACATATATAGATGCACCAATAACGTATGTGCAATGTGCATGGGAATTCTTTCAATTTTTTTTTCAAACTATAGTCCAGCCCCCAACAGTCTGAGGGACGATGAACCAGCCCCTTTGCTTAAAAAGTTTGAGGTCCCTTGATCTAGACCTTATATGCAAGTACATTCTGCCTGGATACACATTATACCGCCTCTCTTCACAGAAAATGGAGAAAATGCATGGATTTCATAGCAAGAACACACGTCCTCTAGCAAGCGAATGGTTCCAGTTTTAAAATACCGCTTCAAAAACCTGCAACCTTTGTTTGATCTCAGATGTAACACAAGACAAAATGCACATAATGGGGAACAAAGCCTTTCTTAAACCATTTTACATTTATCTTCAAAAGCCACTCTCAATTCATAGGTCTTGCTAGGTTGTAAAATCTATTCTCGATGGCTTGTTTCTATGACAATTTCTCAGCTTGAAGGAACATACACACACTCACACACTTCTGCATGGATTCCAAAACCTCACATGGCAATTCACTATTGTAATTGATACACAATGGGCTTTGTAATTCCTTCTCTATCTTGGATTGAACAGGGGCAAGGACACTGCGGATCTGCCAGCCACACCTGCTTCCAGCAGATCTCATCTATACTCCAGAGGAACATAAGCAAGCCTCTTGTCTTGTCCTTCTGTCACTAACACCAAAAGCACCTGGGTTCTGTCTAAGCTGATTTCCAGAAGAAGCTTCCCGCTCTTCCAACTGAGCCACTAAGTGAATGCCAGGCCAGCTCATTCCACTCACTCCAGACTGAAACATTTGCATTTAAATGACTTTGCTGCAAAAGCTGTTTGCCCCAGTGAATATCAATCCCACCCAGGCACCCAGGCCCTCCCTAGCTGAGCCTTGTCTCCTCCCATCACTGGAAGAATCAATAACCATCTCCTGCTGCCATGGGAGCTCTTAATGGAAATGCATTGCCCAGCAAGCATGAATACGCTACTTTTTGCTTCTAAGGCAGCATTCTTCACCAGGCCAGGATGTCCAGGCTCGTAATCCTGAACCACTGGAAGTTACTGATGCTTGCCACCTGGGTTACTGTAATCCATGGAGACTCATTTCTGACTCTCAGAGAGGCGCTGCATAAATGCTGGCATGGTTGCAGCCGAACCTTTCAAACCATGGCCTCTGTGAATCAAAACATCAATACATCTCCTGTTTTCCCCATTTCCTCTGCTCCAAATCCTAAAACTTCTGCACATAAGCAACCACTTTATTTTCCCACATGCCATATGAGTTGACTCACTTGCTTAATCCATACCCACTGTCTACACAGATTATGCCTTAGTGATGCACATATCTGATGCTTTCCTTTATGTCCCCCAGAATCTCCATCTAAATGTACATCCAGCTCATCCCCTTTTCTCCTAGAAGGTACAGTTCTCACAACAGTGCCAAGCACAGTTCACCTCAATCTCCTCTAGACAACCAAGCATTCCAGTCTTTTGTTGCTATTCACACTGTGTGGCTTCCAGTTGCCATTTCGAAGTGGAAATAGGGCAGAAGTAAAGTATCTGAGAGGGATCAAGGGGTTCAGAGGATGCAGTTTTATAACTTTTGTTGGACCTTAGCAAATATAATGACCCTTTGGGCCTTTAGATATTATTGGACATCTATAGCCCAAGAAAGTATTGTTCGTACTCTGGGACAATAGACATTTTAATCAAATAACATTTGGAAGGGAACTTGTCCTCATACCTGGCCTTCAGGCTCTTTTCAATTACCGATTTCCATTAAAATACTAAGTAGTGTATCCAATACTTGCACAGGAGTCAGTCCCTTCCAGTGAAAAGGGGATATGAATTAAATTATACACCCATTGCTTCATCTAAAAATTATATGCCTGGATAGATGCAAGGATTTGAAGCTGCTGCAGGTTTTCATATTTAGGACACAAAGATTAGAAGACCAGCATTCACCTTTTGATTATTGTTGATTTCTAGCCAAAAGTGAAAATCAGCCAGGAAGCCTTGGAACCATATTGCTGACATTAAATTCTATAGCTCTTGAATTCTATATAGAGAAATTGAAGACAAGTCATTAAGGGGGAAAGAATTATGGAAGGAAGGAAAGAAAACAGGAGAGTAGCTCAGGGGATAGTCCTCATCTTCCTGATCCTTTCTGGCTCAGGTTTTGCTTACTCTGTTTAAAGCAGGTGTGAGCAATGTTTGGCCCACCAACTGCTGGTTGACTGCAATGTCCATCATCCCTAGCCAGTGCAGAAGGGTGATGGGAGTTGTAGCCTAAGAATGCCTGGAGAAAATTCTATACTCTTTCAGCCTTCAAGGCATTTATTTTCATGTAGGATTGTTCAAATGCGGCTGCATTCATTCCAGAGCGTTATGTGTGGGACTCACCAAATGCATGAGCAGTGAAATCGATTCCCAGTTCTTTGCTTTCATTCGATCTGCTTCTTGCCCCAGCTGCAAGAGGCTAACGGAGGCCAGCTAGGAAGACAAGGGAGAGACAACAGGATGAAGGTCAATTCTCCTGTGGCTGGAAACAGCTACAGCTGTGAGATTTACTTGGTGTGATTAATCAGAGTTTCGGCTGCAGTTGGAAAAAAACACATTGATTGAGCGAGAAAAGCCATTAGGCTTCATAGAAGAGATTCTGTAGTAGAGAGACCATGTTCCCAATGAGCATAAAGGCTCAAACAGCTGAAAACAATAAAACTCCATGTTCCCAGAACCAAGCACAAATACACACAACTTTGCCCAGCTCTTCAAAAAATGAAAATCAGTGGGGAAAATTGCTATCAGTGAAGTAAAAAATGAATGGGGGGGGGGGGGGGCAAGAGCAGCAAACAGGGAATGAATGTTTAACCTTTGAGCTGTTTTTCTGCCTCTGACTGCCCTCCCAAGCTGCTTTCTTCCTCCTTCTCCCCAGCAAAAAAAATCCTCACACCTTTTCCCATATAGAAAGGTAAGGAACTTGGAGATAATGATTTTGGGTAGCAAAAGGACTAAACAGTTTCTATTACTACCCTGCTAACACTGTTTTCCCGAAACAAGTTGTTTATTTGTTCAGTCGCTTCCAACTCTTTGTGACCAAGAGTATTCCTCTACTGTTTATCTAAAATGGGGCAATAATGAAAAATCTGGGATGAAGTTAAATACAGATATACAACACCCCTAAGAAACTATGTTCAATGCTATGACTGTCAACTGTGATAGTAATAAGGATCATGTGATTTTAATGTTTTATTAGGTGTTTTAGTCAGAGATTTAGTCAGGTCAGAGGTTTGAATTCATGGAGTGCGGATGAGCTCCCTCTGTCAGCTCCAGCTCCCCAAGCAGGGATATGAGAGAAACCTCCCACAAGGATTGTAAAACATCAAAACATCCGGGCGTCCCCTGGGTAAAGTTCTTGCAGATGGCCAATTCTCTCACACCAGAAGTGACTTGCAGTTTCTCAAGTCACTCCTGACACACAAAAAAAGGTGTTTTAATCCTTATATTTCATGATTTAAATGTCTTTTTATTGTATCCTATGATGAATCGTTCCATTGATTTTATATTTTGTTATATGGAGTTGATTGTGGCTTGTGTATGTTTGTAAGACATTGATTTTGCCACTATTTCTGTGTAAACTGCTTTGAGTCCCCTCAGGGGTGAGAAAAGCAGTATATAAATACTGTAAATAAAGAAACGTTTTCTCTTTCATTGTTAAACTGACTGATATATTTTAACATCTCTAGTATTTTGGTTAGCCAGTCCAGGAGACCATCTACTCAATTGTCCATTTCTGTGTTAGTTGTTTATCCTTCTACAACTCAGCAGGGCCATGGACAGCTAGGGGACATTTCCCAATTTTAGACACAGGCTGAAACACACCAGCACTCCTTGCAGTATTTTACCAATGTTTTTTGCCAACATGTATTTTAAGCAGTTTTTACTGTTTGAAAATTTTATCCACCTGGATGTTCTTAATCCCATTACCTGCATAACTTGTATGCTACAGTGTAATAAGGGTCTTTGGACCATAATAAAAATGTATGCATATAAAAGCTGGGGGACTCTGCCCCTTTTCTACTAGCCTGCTCACTCACTGTGCCTATGACTATTACATAAGTTGCTAAATAAATTACACAATCTACTACAGCATATTTGGAAATCAGCAGTGAAACATGACCAACTGGAGAGGGTCAAAGGCATATTCCAGAGTATGCTTGAAAAAAACATGGTTTGCCCTCCTTTAAAACAAAGAGCACCTTTTAAAAAAGTATTATATGCTGAAAAGAAATGGCATCCTTCCCCCCCCCCCCCAATCCTCTTAAAAGTACCTTTCCTTTGTGCAATATGTAAATTTAATCAGCTCAGTTAAAAGCTAAAGTATATTTAATTGGTTGGCAATCTCAGCAAGGGCATGTCTCCCATCATACTTCAGAACAGCTTGCAAAAGGAACATCCGTCCCAGGAAGGGCAAGGATGGAAAAGTTGGAGCTATCTACTACAGCTAATGGTGAGGGGTGATGGAAATTGTAGTCCAGCAACCTAAAGCATCGTCCTTGAGGTTGCAATTTCCACTCTCGTTCTGTGCCTTTCCCAAATGCACGACAGATGGAAGTTCAACTGATAACGCATTTCCCCATCGTGTATCCTCTCCATATAGTGGGGAAAGCTGTAGTAGTTCCATTTCTCTCTCAGTAGTTCCATTTCTGTATCATGCTAGCAAGTGGGCAAATAAATATTCACTTACGTTTTGCATGTGAGAATGATTTTTTTTTCTTTGCTAGATGCGATTATAAGAGTTTGGCTAAGTTTTAAATTTTTAAGCACTTTTGTTTTTGGAAAAGCCCCCAGACTGTAAGCACATGTGCAACATATTTTTGCACACAAAGCAGCTTTGCATGAAATGCAATTCTTTTCTGTGAAAGGGACATTTTTCTGCAAAAAAAAAAAAAAAAAAAAACCAAAACCTTGCCATTCAGAAACACATGCAAAATTCCCAAAAGCTATCGTCACGTGTGAAGGCACTATGAGAAAAACTGGGAATATTCTTTACATCCCTAGTAGCAAACATACCTTTCAGGTGCCAGCCTACAGGTTCTGACTGCATCTTCTCTATAGTGAGCCACAAGGAAACATTTTACCTAATATAATGGCAGCAAGGGGAACAGAAGCTGCCATGCATCTAATGAACAGATAAATCACGCTGACTTCCGTAGGCCAGGAATAAGAAAGTGATCATGCTTAGTGCTGCCTCTATCCATCACTCACAGCCAGCAGGATTCGACTCTTCTCATAGCAGCAGCCATGAAATAATATAGTAATGGGGTGCAACATGAGTTGCCTGAAATATCTAAAGAAGGACAATTTCCAGATCCCTGTGATCCAACTTCCATTGAACACATGGATAGTTAAAGTCAAGGAGGACCAAACAAAAGATTGCAATCAAGTCTGCAATAATCCTGAGAGTTCAGAGTGTGGCACTGTTTGATAGTTTTGAAAATCCCACACAGATAAGTGTCTCTTCTTGTTTGGTCATCAAAGGCTGTTTCAGAACACATTATGAAAGCTAGTTGGCATTGCCCGCCCCACATCCCCACCCCGATGTGCAATGGGAAGTTGCTGCTCACTGTGAGAGAAATAAGGTTGAACACTGTAAAGCCACCCACTGCATGGCTATCACTCTCCTCCCAATAGAAGGAAAAGGAAAAAGTTCAAGGAACAGGTTCATGAGAAACACGACTCCTCTTAATGTTCCCCCAGCAACAGCAGGAGTATACCTCTGGGCAGGAAATCCCAACTGGATGCCCCCCCCCCCAAGGGTCTGCCTCAGGGAAGGGGGGGGGGGGCAAACCAAGAATTGGCAATTTGGAAGTCCCTGAACAGACTCAGAAGCGGAGTGGGCAGATCAAAAGACAACCTGGAAAAATGGCACTACCTAAAAGAATCCTCCACCTTGTGTGACTGTGGAGCAGAATGAACAACTTCACATCTGTATGCTTGCCCACAATGCCCTGTCTCATGCAAAGAGGAAGAATTGTTTAAAGCTACAGACAGTGCAGTTGCTGTTGCCCGTTTTTGGTCTAAAATTATTTAACCACTTGTGCTCCTTCTGATTTTTATCAGTTTGATACTTACTTATGCAATGCTTTTGACATGAAATAAATAAAAAAGAATACGTTCCTATAACTGAAACCTCAGAAGTGTACTGTTCAAAAAGGGACATCAAGTATCAAGGTACTATCTCAGATAGAGAATCAAGGTCACCTTTCTTTTGGCAGAGCAAGGCCACTTTCTTAGAAGAAACAGATGTGCATGCCAAGATGTCTACTCTTTATCCCATGGCTAGGTTAACTGTATATCAAAAAACTTAAGTGTCAACCAAATCAGCTTTTGTATACAAAAGGAGAAGTGCACATGTTATCCTGCAAAATATCTGTAACAGGTGCCTTCAGACAGAATTCAAAGCTATTCTCCAAAAGCACTTGCCTGTGGATGGCTCCATTCCCAATTGCCTTCCGCAAACAGGTAAAGACCTTTCTCTGGCAGCAGGCATTTGGGGAACGATACGGGGCATGGGAGGTGTGGGTGGGATTCTGGGGAAAATTGTGAGTTTTAAATTCTATTCTAAGTGTATATATTATATTTATTATATTTTAATCTTTATTTTAAAATATTTTGGATGGCCCACGAGGTCTCTTCCAACTCTCTGATTCTATGAAATACACACTGTATTATTTAATTTTTTTGCATTTACTTTGTTTTAAATTGTGACCAAAATGTGTGATCGTTAGCTGCCTTGGGAGAAAGTTGGGGTATATATAAAGCAAATAACAACAGCAAGAATGACTGTTTGATACTGTGGAAGATGAGATGGTGGTTATTTTAATTGCTGATGTCTTAACAAAACGCCAGATATGAGGAGGGGCTGCAATGGATTTTTCTGCTTCACCCAATAATCAGACACACAGGTTGCTTTTGTGATGGTGACTGGGTTTAAACAAAGTGCAGCAATTAAAGTGACAAAGCCTGGAATCTGTCCACCACAGATTTGTCCACATACATTTGTCTTTGCCTTCCTGCGGCAAATGAGAGAGAGGCTCATTTCTCAGTAAACAATTTCTCCTTACTAGCAAGTAAAAATCCAATTTTCTGTAAAATAGACCAGGGAAGGCAAGGAGGGAACCAAGAAAATAATGTTGTTACTGCCTCCTGGTTACAAGGGCATTGAAAAAGATAGCTAAGGGGGATGGAGGCAAATGCTCAAAATCTCCTTCACCACAAATCCAATTTTTGTTGGGCTGCACATTTGTAAACATTAGCTGAATGCATTTGTGAGAAACCAAGCTTCTATATGCCATCTTCATTCCACTACCCCGAAAATCTGTCAAATTACAACCCCGGTCATCCCCAGTCAGCATATACAATTACAATAGTGACTGGGGACAATGGGGACTACAGTCGAAGACATACAGAAGTCACCATTTTAAGTGCTTTCTGTGGCTACTAGAAGGATGGTTTAAGAAATCAGGCAATCAGCTTCTATAACAATGCCCACATCTCGTCATGCTTATAAGTCTGAGAACAGGGAAGTGTTTGTTACATAAAAAGCACCCTTAAATCTGATGTTTTGATCCAGAATCAAGAGGCACGGATTGTAAGGCCATGGTCCTAAATACACCTACTAGTTGAGTAAGCTCAATTTGAAACTTGAGTAAATACAGAAAGTGTTGTACTATAGAAGTAGAAAACATGGCGCTGGGAATGGTTTCTCAGAGCCAGTTATCCCCCCGCCCCCTTTCGTGCCCCATTCTCATGTCTGTGGCATTTTTTCTTTCTTCTGGCTTCAGTCTGCTCATGTAACTCAGAAATCCAGGCTCAAGACTAGCTATAGCTGAGAATGAAGTGGGAGGTTTTAATATGAATCAGAAAAGGGCATACTTCAGTTAACAACGCATCTAACAAAGGTGCTGTAAAAAGGAGCTCCTTCGTCAGAAGCTTTTAAAACTAATATAACTAGGTATTTTTACAAGAGACCAGCACAGCCCCATTTCCTTAACTACTTTCTAGCAAGAAGCTTTTCTTTCTTTTTCTTCTTTCTTTCTTTCTTTCTTTTTGCAGCATTGGCATTCAATGGATGATGAAGGAGAGCTAGAGAAAGACTCTCAATGTTGAGCAGAAGCAGCTTCTCTGCTGTACACAATGTCATAAAAAGCTTGAGCTAGGAAAAAATGAGATTCTACTTCTATACTCCAATTGATACTGCTGTAGCTGTGTGTGCTTACTTACAACAGACAAGGTATACATCTGTGAAGAGCAGACAGAAAGAAAGGGGGAAAGCTAGTGAGCCTGCCTCCCCAGCTACCCTGGCATGTTGAAAATGCATAAATTAGAAAAATAGTCAATACCAGTAAGTAAACCAGTCTGAAACTCAGATGAAACTCATAAAAATCCACAAGGCTGAGGTATTCTCTTATATATTCTTAGCTTCTGAATGGAAGGAAGTAGTTTATGTTCTATCCATCTCTGTGGATAGATTGCTTGTTTGTGATCTTGATGATCAAAATTAGATGTTTTTTTAAGAAGCAAATTTGTAGAGACTTCTGGTTTTCATCTTGCTCCAGATCAAGGTCAGATCTGTAAGTTCTTCCATCAAAATTGAAATTATTTAAAAAGTAGAGGTTGTTGAAAGGAATTTGACTTCATTGTTTCATATCATATGTAAGATTAGTCCTGAATAATATTGGGGAATCTGAGATTCCCCAATAGGCTCAAAAATAATCCTCAGGGTAATTCTACCAAAATATAGCAGAGTACCAGGAGTAAACGCCATAACCAGCAGAAACTTACGTGTGATGAGAAGGGATAGCCTTCTAATCTTTAGGATGACTCAGGATTACAGTCAGAACTTTGGGTTCAAAAATATTTATTAAATTAAAAAGAAATGCATTCTTGATAGAAAAGTCTTGGAGCTAACGACCTTACTAAATCTCATCTTCTAAAGAAGGTAAAGGGTTTTTAAAAAGCCATGCAGCTACATTTTTCCTACAGAGAGGCAAAATGTGTCATCTCAGGGAGAAAAGAAAAGCAGAAGAAACAATTGTGGAGACCTCAGGGTCTTTCCAGGGCAGTTGAAACTTAAAAGGAAATTGCCTCACATAATTCCATTACTACATCATCAAAGGGGGAGGAGACAGTGGCTAGCAGTGAAAACAAAGTCCTTTAGGAAACATGCATAGGAATGTGGGGAAAGGAATCTCTGAGCTTAGCCCTGTCTCTAGTCTAGCTACTCATTGAGGACTAAAAACATGACACACAAAAATTGCAGTCCAACAATTTCTTGCAACAAATAAAAAGTTGGCTTTAATATGTTGAACTTTTCGTCTTTGTTTTTGTGATGTCGGAACCTATCCCTTTTATTTCCATATTATTTTTAGCTCTGATACCAACTTTTTGACTCTGATCCCAAAGTAAAGCCAAGGAACACATCTGCTTTGTTAAATGACGTATACATGTAGCCATACAGAAGGTATAAAAGTGCTTCATCGCCACCACTTTATTCTCTTCTTCATCATCTTTCCCTCTCTCCCCTCCCCCTTTCTTTTTTTTTTTTTCATTTCCTGCTCTTTCTCATCACCACCAACACTCCACTCATACTGCAAATGCTGAAGCTTGTTTAAGGGTGGCTATATCTGCAAGCTTCTTACCTTTTTTATGAGCATGCTTCATTGAACTTAGGGGCCTTGTTCTGCACATATAGGATTGTGCTGTAAGTTCATGGCCAAAATAAGTTTGAACCAGCAACCTAATACTATGTTACGCAAGCCATTGGGTTTTTTTTTCCCCTCCAGACTCACCATTTCCACAGTCCAATCTACAAACCATAAATCACATGCGAAACTTCATTCTTCATATCACCTTATATTTCCCAGAAGCAGTATATTGCTTTGGAAAAGAAAAGACTGTGGAGGCTCTTTTGTGAGTAATAAAATAAAAGAACAAATCCAATTCCCCATGGCCTGCAAAGTCATGAAATAAACCTCAACCCAGACAAGATGAAGAGCTTTACTCACCATCAGGAATTCTTTAAGGTGAGTTTCAATGTTCTTGTTGTAAACAGTGAAGAGAGCAGCTGACACCTGTATGATGGCTTTGGCAAGGCAGTGGATGTTGTTGCTATAGCCTACAGAAAAAGAAAGACATCCACACCAATGCCAAACATTTCAAAGCGGCCTTTCCCAACCTAGTGCTACCATAGATGTGTTGGACTACAGTTTCCAGCATCCCCAAGTAACATGTCAATTGTGGTTTATTTATTTATTTATGACATTTCTACCCCGCTTTTCTCCAATCTGAAGGGGATTCAAGGTGGCTTTACAGCCAGGCAGCCATTTGATGCCTTCAGAACAAAGTGCAACTAAAACAAACATTTAAAATAGAATTATAAAAGGCATACATCACGACATTTAAATCAAGCGAACAGTGTTGCATATTTGCAAAGGGTTTGTAACAGGGTTCCAAAATTTCAGGTGCTTCTACTGGCTCAAAAAATGGACTTTGAGGCCCCATCTACCCTGTCATGTAATGCAGTTTCATGATGCAGATTAACTGAATTATATGACAGTGTAAATTCATATAATGTTCACCTCACTCCCTGCTGTGCTGCCATAGCCTTTTTTAAAGCATGTTTCCAGTACACCCCCATTTTCTCCCCTCGCTGGCATTTTTTTTTACCAGTCTTAATCTGAACCATTCTTAGTTCAACAGAAAAACAGTAACGTGCCCAGGGATCTTGAAAGAGCTTCATGAGTGAATAGAGATTTGAACTCAGGTCTCTCCATATAAGTTGGACACTCCAATCACCATGATATATTATCTGTCAGTTAAGCATAAGAAAGCAGAGGCCTGCTGTCAGAGATGCCATGAGAGCTAAACCTGTCCTTCCCCATTCTGGCATAGTCTTGATCTAATTTGTGAGAAGCTATGATACAGTTTTAGAGAATTCTAGTTTTCATATAGACACAAAGATAATAACTATATCCTAAATATCCTGAACTTAGAGAGTGCTACACAAAGAGAAAGCACTTAGAGTCAATATGACTAAGGGCCCTTCCACACAGTCATATAACCGGAATATCAAGGCAGAAAATCTCACAATATCAGCTTTGAACTGTGTTATCTGAGTCCACACTGCCATATATCCCACTTCAAAGGAGATAATGTGGGATTTTATTCAGCTGTGTGGAAGGGGTCTAACACACTTGGCATGCTTCTCTGTTTTCCAGAATATGTGTGTGTGTGTGTGTATGCACAAATGAACAGATTGGGGTTGCAGCTTTGGGGGTGTCACTGAAAGCCTGCCCCTCCTTTCTTACCATTGATGTCAGTGGTATAAACTGAGGAGGCGTCATTGGCCAGGAGAGGCAGAGACACAGCTACAAAGACCAGCAGAAGACAGGCAATCTTGTAGTCCTCCTCTGGTGAAGAGCTATCTGTTAGGGAGGCAAAAGGGATGATGTTTGGCATGAGATTTCAGGAACAAGCTAGATTTACACTGTCTATTCCTCTTTCCCCAGCTCAGTTGCTTGAAAGACATGCCCCTGAAAAAGCAGGCAGGGAGAGTTTTACTTAAAAAAAAAAAAGCAATAACTATGGCTGCTGTGACAGGCCGATAAATTATCTGATGGATGGAGCTGGTGAACTGAACAAAACTGATGCTGCTTGGCTTCACTTGAATCAATGGTGTGTGCCACAGAAAAAGAAACAAAGAGAGAAACGGGTTCAGAGACAGCATAGGGAATGGGGGAGTGGGGGGCAGGCTGAGAAAGAATAATCTCTTATTCCATTGTAGGATGATGTCTCTGTATTTCTGCACTCTTCTCCCAAACATGTCCTTCAAAGCGTGGGGTGTGATTTCAGCCTTCCCCAACATAGTACAACTCTCATCATCCTAAGGCACCTGCCAATGAATGGGTATGTACTACAGCCCAACACATCCAGATGGCAACTGGTTAGAAATGTATTTGTACCTATGGACAGATTGACTTGACTGTGTCGTCGGGACATAAAAAGAATGCAAATTTCCTTCCTCTCCAATAAGTAAAACTTGAGGCACTGCAACTTCTTTTCTCTATTGGGATATGGATTATGACTTGTTAGGATCATAACCTATTGGTAGCAGAGTTTCAGAAGTGTTCATTTAGTTATTGGGTAATTGATATCACTGGGCACGTAAATATCTTGTTTCTATTTGATGGTCTCTGCAGACAAAGATTCAAGTAGACTTCTTTAAAATAACATGTTTTTTTACTCACAATTTCATGTATTTAAATATATATGCACATTTCTTGTCAGGTGAAACTATAAAATGTTACATTTTGTATCTTTAACTTATACTCGTAGTCTTTACCAATCTCTTCAAAACTATATTGCTCTGTACAGCTCTCTTTCATAAGTCTACTTCCATGGGAACAATTTCAACAATTTTCTAACTTCCTACACTGACTTCTGTACTCAAACTAATTCAAGTGTCATTCGTCAAGTGTCATCCTTTTAAAACTGCATTCTAAATAGTCACTGAACCAGTCACATGGTCTGCAGCCCCTCCCACTGCCTCAAGTACATAGAGCTAAGAAAACTGCAAACAAAAAAGGCATACACTTCAGGAAATAAATGACACATTATAAATGGACAAAACATTAAATAGAGGAGGCTTGAGAAGGTTGCTATCTTCAACATTCTCATTTATAGAAAAGCTAAGAAGTCTTAAGGAAGTAAAAAAAAGAGGAGCAGGAAAGACAGAGCTCTTGCACTTTGGCTGCATTGGGAATGAAGCCATTGTGACCAAAAAAGAAATATGGGTCAAAGAAGTGGGGCCATCGAAGTGTAATCCACAGGGATACGTTTTCCAAGTAGCCAGCCTAGATCATGTTGGGATTGGTGGACCCTAGTGGCTGGAGCAGAGACAGAGACTCAAACTGAAGCCAGCACTGCTTGGACACAGGAGAAATGACACCTTCCTACTTAGGGCCCTTCCACACAGCCCTAGATCCCAGAATATCAAGGCATAAAATCCCACAAAATCTGCCTTGAACTGGGTTATCTAAGTCCACACTGCCACATATTCCAGTTCAAAGCAGATAATGTAGGATTTTCTGCCTGGATATTATGGGATACAGAGCTGTGTGGAAGTGCCCTTGGTGCTGGGTAGCCTCTGCCTCAACTATACGCTGGGCTTTGAAAGAGCTGCAGCAAGGACATTCTACAACTGAGGACAGAAGAGAACATGAAGCAAAAGTGTGAAATGATCAAAGACTGGAAGAGTGGTTGAGAAAGAGCTATGTTTTCATAAAATATGGCACAGCCAGAAGCCTTCAGGTATTCCAGTCCCTGTGCCAGTGAAGACTGGAGAATTAACCAATTTCTTCGCTTCTCTACCATGCTAGGAACACACCAGTCACTGCAGTGTGAGATATTGCACTTTTTCAATCCATAATGTATTGTGACCAGGATAGGAAATGGGGGAAAAAAAATTTCAGAGGCTCAAGTACCAACAGGGAGAGTCTCAAGGTGGCACAAGGGACAAAGTTACTGATGCAAACAGCCTGGGCTATGTGGGACATGGTGGTCACCAATAATGATGAAACAGAAGGTTCACCTGCCACATGTTTAACCATTGGCCACTTCCCAGGAGTGCTTTATTTCTCCATTTCTGTATGATTGGGAGTGGTGGGTAGACTAGAAGACCTTTGATATTCCTCCTAATTCTAGAAGTCTGTGATTCTCAAACACCATACAGATTAATCCTAAGAGAAGGTCAGTCTTCCGAACACCAGTAGAGGGATCTAGTTCTTTGCCATGGCAACTAAATACATGGTTTATCCATACAGTATAGTCTTGCTGGATAATATAATCTATTTCAAGTTTCTTCTTTCAGATCCAATGTAAAGGAAAGAGACAGAGAGAAGTAACATAGAAAAACAAGGTCCTGTGGCAAAGGTCCTGTGGCAAAGGAATCTGAATCTGATGTCTCTGTGGCCATAAATGAATGTGGCTATACAAAGAAACTGGGCATACCAAACCCAATGGTGTATTATACAAGAACCAATGCTTGCAAATGTCAGCTGCAAAAGTTGCAAAGTAAAATACAGGAACACTGACAATTCTTGGATAAAGGCCGGGAGTAGGCCTTTTGAGCGCAAACAAACCAGCGACAGCATCCAAGCAGCGACAGCTCCAAGAAACAGAGTTAAATATTTATTATTGCTGAGATGATGCAGAGTCTGGAAAGAGTCCCTGTGCGGCTGCTCTAAGAGTGCTAGAAAAACCGCTCTTCTCTAGGCTCCTGAAGTGATAACACAAGACATTATTTACAGCCTCATAGTTTCATGTTAATATGGTGAGCTACGTTGGCAAGCCTTTTTCTTACCTTTCTTCAGATTGGAAAGGGCACACACAAGGGCCGGATCAATGTCACAAGGCACCCCCGCAGCTGTGGCTAGTTCGAAAATGGTCAGGGTCACCTAAAGAAAAAACAAGGAGAATGGAATGAACTAAGAGACAAGAGCTGCTGACTGGCTGGATAACTTTGCTCCTAGTTCCTAATCCACATATACAACAGACATAGTAGAAATAGCAAGAAAGTGAAGTACTAAGCCCCTGAGATATAACACTTCCTACTATAGGTAGGATGTAGCATATCTGCAGACTTCTCCATGTAAAAATGTGACTACGGTTTAAAAATAACAATATCTGCTTTTCTTTCTGCTATATAATTTTTAAAAGGAGGTCTGACTCTGAATCCTACCTCCAACTAATTTCTGCATTGAGAAGTGATTATATTATTCAGGACCAGCTCATTAGATACACTTTCTGAAGTGCACGTGGGTTGACATCTTTGAGAAATACAACTGTGTGCAGCAATTTATTTGTTAATTGTCTCCATTAGGTTTTGTGCCTATCATCTGTTGTAGTAAGTGATGATGTTCTGGTGCGATTACTGACTGAAAGTGGGATGAGAAGATACCATTTTGCCCCTGCAAGCAAAATATTTTGAGCCAACCTTGATACAGTTCACTCCATTTCCTCAGTCGCTTTCTTAGGTTGCATATATAAACCAGGGACTCCTTCAGATCGTACAGGTAAAGTAAATGTTTCCCCTTTGACATTAAGTCTAGTTATGTCCAACTCCAGAGGGTGGTGCTCATCTCCATTTCTAAGCTGCCCGTAGACGCCTCCAAGGTCATGTGGCCGGCATGACTGCATGGAGTGCTGTTTCCTTCCCGACGAAGAAGTACCTATTAATCTACTCACATTTGCATGCTTTCGAACTGCTAGGTTGGCAGAAGCTGGGGCTAACAGCGGGAACTCAGCCCGCTCCCCAGATTCAAACCACCAACCTTTTGGTCAGCAAGTTCTGCAGCTCAGAGGTTTAATCCACTGCGCCACTTTAATTGTCACAGTTCCATCCCATGGAATCTTGGGATTTACAGTTTAGGAAGCCGTCTTTAGCATGCTCAGTCAGAGAGCTCCACAGGTGCCTCGTTAAACTAGAGCTTCTTGACTCTATAGGTTGCATCTATGACAGTTAAAGTGAAATCATTGTGCTACAATTGTGGAGTGTGACATTGTTCCATTTTTCAAAGACAGCTAAAATAAAAAGATACATAGCTATTGTTGCGAAATGCTCAGTTCTCTTGATTAATGGTACTAACAAACCACCAATTCCAGGATTCCATAAGATCATGGCATGGCAATTAAAGTGCTATAATTGTGTGTTGTGAATAGGCCCCTGGGCAACAATTACTGCTTTGAAATCCTATCCCTTCACACACACATACACACACACAGCACTACCACTGGACAGCACAGTGCAATGTCATCAGGCCACATTTGCCCCTTATCAGGCAACATTAGGAAGTAGGGACAAAAAAAAACATACAACAAGCTGAGATCCAGCTTCTTTTGTATACCACTGGATACGCCTCTCACCATCCCAAATTGAAAAGGAAATATTACATAATTTCCATGCTATTTTGGTAATCATCAATACATTACATAAGCTTATTCCTCCCTAGGCTGTGCTCAGGATAGATGTCTCCATTGCTCCATCGGAGCTGCAATACTACTTCTACGACATACAGAGATGTATGGACAATTCCAGGGAAAAACAAGAGGAAGAAAACCCAGAGTTAGCCAGTATAACCTAACCAATATGGACGCTTAGCATGGAAGTATTCATCAAAAGCATATGTCAGAAGCAACTTAAAAACCATGGGGCAAGGAGGCCTACCTCCTGACCTATTGCTAGGAGATGGGAATGAGTGGGTGGAATGTCATTTGAACCAACCCAAGCCCTGCTGTTATTACTGCGGCCACCCAGCCCTATCATATACATGGACACCTACTTTCATTTGATCTGATTCTTTAAAAGGCACTGAATACTTTTTCTTCCAAAAGATGTTCAAGGCAGCCCACACATTCGGCAGAATAACAATAGAACTATATGAGGTAAGCCATTTTAAAAAGTACTGTCAAAGAAATCACATACAAAAAGAACACAGCAAAGCTGGAAAATTTTCATCCAGATTAAAAGTCAATAGAAACATCTTGATTCCACTCCTCAAACTCCCCAGAGTGGAGACCTTCTGAAGGAATGCATTACATAGATCAGGTGCTAGTAGGAATGAGGCTCTGCTCTAGAGATTAAGCATCTTAACCCTCACTTTGGCAATGCAACATTTTTTTCCAGTGTGTTGGATAACAACTGCCATCACGCCCAACTTCCTGGGAAGGATAGGAGATGTAGTCCAAAGCTATTTCGAAGGATATTCTAAGATGTCAAAGGGAAGAGTTCCAGAGAGCGAATTCAGAACTATAGTGAATCTTTTTGTAGTAGTATAGTAGGGGTTTAGACCATTTGTGCATACGTGTAAGAAAGTTTCAAACACATTCATTTGCGGTACTCTAAGAAAAGGGGACAACTAAAGTACACTAAATGAGTCAGTGTGGGGTAGCAGCTTGAAAGATGACTAGGACTCTGGGAGAACAGAGTTCAAATTCACACTCAGCTATGAAAATCTACAGTGTGGCCTTGGGAGGGTAACACCTGCATCCTCAGAGAAAGGCAATAGTAAGCTGTCTCTGGATAAATCTTTGTAAAGGAAATCCTACAATATGGTTGAGTGGAATGTCCTTTGGACCTACTGATTCTGGTGGCAATGACTTGTTGTTGCCATCCAGCCCTATGATATGCATGAGTGAATACTCCGATTTGATCCATTGATAACCTCAAGTTGGAGTTGATTATAGTAAGTTGGAAATTATTTGAAGGCACACCATGGATGTACAAACAATGGGAAAGAAGTAAGGAGCAAATACAGCAGGAGAAGCAGAGGGCCATTCAAGTCTTTGTTTTGTTTTGATATATTAATTCGGATGTTTTATGTTTAAGATTTATGTTACTTATAATTTTCAATTGATTGTTTTACTTAAATTATAGTTGTTATGCTTAAGTTGTTCTTTATGTGGGGTTATCTTGGGTTATTATACTTGTATTTACTGTTATTGAGGCATTGAATGTTTGCCTTTTTGTTTGTTGGAATCCGCCCTGAGTCCCCCAGGGGAGATAGGACGGAATATAAATAAAGCATTATTATTATTATTATTATTATTATTATTATTATTATTATTATTATTTGAAACACAACAAGATGAGTCCACAGCAGACAAGATCACTCTGATGGCTGTTGTATTGGATCACACGTCGGACATTTCCCAAGTGTCTAGGACTGTGTAATGTATTGGCGAATATTATTATTATTATCATTATTATTATTATTATTATTATTATTATTATTATTATTAGTGTTTGCAGCTTTTTGTATTTGATTATATCTGTGCAATCCCATAGCTAGTAGGCTCCTCTCAGTTGAAGCCTACTAGCTATAATATTCCACTGATATAAGTAAATATAGAAAGCTGCAAACACAGAAAGACTTGAGTGACAGTACTCTGATTTCTCATACCAGGACCAAGTTGAGGGAAAATGTGCTGGCATACATATCTAGCTGAGAAAACAGGTAAGAAAGTAGAGGTATCAACACTTCTTTCCATTCCCATCAAGATCTTTTTAGTAGCTTCTCATCTATATCACACTTCTTTGGATCGGAGCAGCCCAAAGAACCCCTAACATTCCTTTTCCCCAGAAGCAGGGATGAAAGTTATCAATATGTAAGTCAGGTGTACCAAAGATGCTCAAATTGCAGAAAGACAAGCTAGATAAACACAAGTCCAAGTCCTTGCTTTTGCTGCAGTCTCTCCCTAAACATTCTGTCTAGACTCTGAATTTATTTTTGAAACTCTTCTTTAACTCCTTTTGCCATCCTCACCATCAAGCCCAGTGGTTCTCAATCTGTGAGTCTCCAGATGTTTTGGCCTTCAACTCCCAGAAATCCTAACAGCTGGTAAACTGGCTGGGATTTCTGGGAGTTGTAGGCCAAAACACCTGGGGACCCACAAGTTGAGAACCACTGATCTAGCCCATCACCACTGATCCCTCTAAAGAAAACCTTGAAACTCGCCCCCCCCCCATTTTTGTCACCCACTTCTGTTATGTTCACAAGCATGAAGAACCATAACACTTTGGTGTATTATACAGCACCTCTCACATTGTAATGTAATGTTGGCCATTACTAAAGGGAGAAAAGGAAGAGAAAAAGATGAAAACATCTCAGCTCTTAAGAGATCCCAAATATAAATGTTCGGCCTTGAAATATAAAAGATGTTTTTGTCATACTGCACTTGCAATAGACTGCCGATCCTCTCCACCTAGTAGAGCAAGCACTTCTCTTCACTCTTCCATACACATAATATAATGCTATAGTACCATGTTATTTACCATTGGATAAAGACTGTCCATCACTTCGCAAGTCCGCTTTGTATGCCTGCTTCTCTATTGCATCAGCCACAACCTCAGTTGGTACTCTTAGTGTATGATCAAAACTATGTTTTCTTTCAGTTGCTTCCAGGAGAGCAGAAAAGATTTAGGAGGAGGAAAAAGTCAAAGAATTAAAAAGGGTGAAAGCCTTCTGCAGATTTCATCTAAATTGGCACAGAAGGCAGATGGGGGCTGGAGAAAGTTTTAAAACATTTATAGTTGTTAAAAGCAGACCAGACAAGTGCCTGCTGCCTCAAGCCTACTCCTGAAACATTTCTCTGAAACGCACATGCTGGCTCTTGATTCAAGAGGCTGTGAATGACAGACAATCCGCCTCCCTTCTTGGGCAGTCTGTGCCAATTAATCACCCTTGCAATTAAACATTATGATTTGTTTCTAAATATTTTTCCAACTCTTGAGTGCCTGGCTGTTGTCTTGCATTCTGCACTCTTTAGCTCAAGCAAGAAGAATCATGTAGAGTGAAAGTGATACTCTGCAAAGTCCTGAGGACAAGTGGATAACCCACCCTCCAGAGCCATGAAAAAAAAAGGATTATAAAAGAGAAACATGGGCTTTCCTGTGACT